ATAACACGCTTAGTAATAGACCAAGTAAAAAGGGAAAAAAGAAAATAAAAAAAAAAAAAAAAAAAAAAAAAAAGAAAAAAAGAAAAAAAGAAACCTTAACGAATGATACGAGCGAGCTTGCGCTTTCAAGGATATAGAGGACATGAAAATCTCTTGCGTATTTAAGTACATGATTATTATATAAAATTGATCTTTCGATTAAAACTGAATAGACTGCAATTATCTTGAGCGTACGCTTAGCTAATATTACGAACACATACCCTCGTTCTATTTGTTGCTGATATTTAATGTATTACACGTACGTACATACTTACATATACATACACTTACACATTAAATACTTTGCAAATGAAACTTTCGAACAAAGACCTACGCGTGCCTGTAAAATACGTTCTTTACATTGTCTCGTATTATGGGCACATACGCACATTTGTTATTATAATTTCCTAAATAAACTGCTTAAAAACATGTTGCGTTTTTGCCTAACCATATGAATGATGTAATCGCACGCGCGCATGCGTGTAAACATATAAATATAATTTTATATTGTATCATAATTATTTTTTTATATATTTTTGTTTCAATTATGATATAAATATTTGAATGAATCTCCGTAACATTTTTCTTGTTACAATTATAGTGATACTATTAACATGATTATATTTGTATATAAAATAAGATAAATTTTATTTTCGCGAACAATGAATTTTTACAAGGATTTATTACAATTTTTTTCTCTTTATTGAAAGACACAAATAATAAGATATATTAAATTATATAAAATTTTTAAACATTGAAATCGAGCTATATAAATATTTAATTCTTTATCAAATTAACGCATTAGGGGAAGAAATTATATTCATATTTGATTCTTCTAATTAAGTTAATTTAGCAGATGGTATAGGATAATCTTCCTCGTAATAGATTTCTCCTTCACCTTCGTATTCGTCTTCATATTTCAAGAATTGTTCTGGTGCTATTGATAAATCCTCTGAACACTTATCTATTAGTGAATCTACAGATATCTAAAAATTACAAATTAAGAGATTAATTAAAAATTTCTTTTAATCCATCTTGAATTCAATATTTTCAAAAAAAAATGTAAAATTAATAATTAATAATATAATTACGTATTACGTTAGTCGTACGTTTTAGATATTTTAAATTAATTCTTCGAAATTCTCTTAAAAGTGATATTTATAATATGATTATATACAAATAATAATTATTTAAAAAAAAATCGAAAATAAATAAAAAGAAACAACCTGCCATTTTTTAAAATAAACCATAGCTAAAGATACATAATAGATGTAGTTAAATGTAGTTATCTTAAAAATCATTAATACATGTTTACATAGATATATACGATTATAAATTTTTTGTACATTTTCGAAATTTGAATTCGATAATTTTCTAATAATCTTAAATAATGTAAGATATCACAATTTCTTCCTTTTAGATAATTAATTAAACGATTTAAAAGTATACCGTGTTAATAATATCGTAAATAAATGAAATGAGTTAAGATGTAAGTTCTATATAATTCTTATTAATCCTTAAAACCGAAAAAAATGGGATAATTTATATCTCTTACAATTGAATATTTCGCTCTTTTATAAAATTTATCTTTTGTGTATTAAAATTATTTTAATATTTATTCTTTTTCTAAACAAATTTTTAGAAAAATTTGATCATCAGAGGAAGGCCCGATCAGATCATTTTTTTTTTATAAATTTTCTAGCGCTAAAAAATTGATTATGTATGTTCTTACCTCCTCTTGCAAAGGTATTGGTTCAGGTGGTAATAAATCAGGATTGTACGGTGTGATACAACGCGCGCGCCACAACGCAATAATACCTTTCTTCAAACGAGGTGGTTCAAAAGGTATAGGTTTAACTTCCGCTTTTGTAATCTCGGTCTCTGTAACATACGTTTCTGCTTCAGTTTCTCTCGCAGTAGGTTCTGGTGATGGTTCCGTTGTTTCCTGTATCGAAATTATTATCCACAAATTATCCACAAATATAAAGAGTCTTTACTATTTGTGTCTTAATTAAATAC